CGCCGACGCCCATTCCTTAACAGATTTGCGAAGGCCTGGCCAAACAAATTTAGAGCTGACCAGTTTAACAGAGGCCCGGACCCCTGGATGAGAGAGAGCATGTACCGAGTCAAAAACTTGACGACGCCAGGAAGCGGGAACCACAGGGCGAGGGCGGCCGGTGGAAACGTCACAGACGAGGAGGGGACCACCGTCCTGCACGGGTCTGTCCTCCAGTATGAGGCCCGTCTGGGTGGATTTAAGCGCAAGGATGTCAGGGTCACCGCTCTGATCGGCAGCCATGGCGGAGTAGTCTATGCCGAGAAAGACGGGAGAAACCAGCGCACGGGACAAACAGTCAGCCACACCACCACCAAATAATAGAGTCGCCTGACAGTTTGCTAGAATCTCTTCGAGGCAGTCTGAAAGTCTTTTTCCATGACCTCTCTAAACTCCCCCCAAACCCGGGTTTTTGCTTCAGCTACTGCCCAATTCGCATTCTGCCTGGCCTGTCGGTACTTATCAGCTGCCTCTGAAGTCCCACAGGCTAACTGGCTTGGTTAGCCTGTGGGACTTCAGAGGCCTGATGGTTCCCTTCACCTCCAGTGTCCACCATCTGGTTCAGGGGTTACCACCACAACAAGCACCAACCACCTTGCGGCCAGAGCTCAGTGCACAACTTTCACCAATGGAGGTGCTGAACATGATCCATTCAGACTCAATGTCCCCAGTCTCCCTCGGAACGTTGTCAAAGCTCTCCTGGGACCTCTGCCAGGTGTTGGCAACGCACCCACACTATATGTTTTGGCGCCCCAGGTCTGTCCAGCATCTTCCCCCGCCACCTGATCCAACTCATAACCAGGTGGTGATCAGTTACCAACTCACACCTCCCTTCACCTGAGTGTCCAGAACATATGACTGCAGATCTGATGATACAATTACAAAATTCATCATTGACCTGCGGTTTAGGGTGTCCTGGTGCCATGTGCACTTATGGACAGCTCGTTCAAACATGGTGTTTGTTAAGTCCAGTAACAGAACAGGGCTTCAGATCTGGCAGGCTGTTACATCCAATTATGCCCCGCCAGGTCTCACTGTCATTGCCCACATGAGCATTGTCTCCCACTAAGAGGATGGCGTGCCCAGGTGAAGCATTCTCAAGCGCCTCACCCATGTACTCCAAGAAAGCTGGGTACTCTAAACTGTCATTTGGCACAAAAGCGCAGATGACAGTCAGGACCTGTTCCCTGATCTGAAGGTGCAGTGAACAAACACTCTCATCCACCAGGGTAAAGCTCCAATATACAGGCAGCAAGCCAAGTGGATACTAGTAATGACTATGTGTTGTTTCTATATATACTTCACTACTAAAGACATTTTGTATTGTGTCGAATCTCATCTGAATCTCACAGTTCATCAGAACAGTTTTTAGCTCATTTGTCATTCAGAGCTACAGATCTCTCACTTCCCTTAATGCTACTTTATCTCAATGGCTTTGGTGCAGTTCTCATATCAGGAAAGTCATTCTCACACCTCACCTTTTTACTGTAATCAGATCACTTAAAACATTTTTCAAATTGTAACACTAATTAACCCTTCAGAACTGCTTTAAGTCTTCATGATGCAGGTTTAACAAGGTGCTGGAAACATTTCTCTGAGATTTTGCTTCATATTGAAATAATAGCACCACACAGTTGCTGCAGGTTTGTCATTCGCTCATCCATATTTCCCTTAAAATGTCCTTTACTGGACTGAAATCCAGACTGTGAAGACCAGCCCATCTGGTACCAACAACCAGTTTCAGTCACCTTTCTTCCACTATTCTAATGCTCAGTTTGAACTTCAATAGGCTGTCTTCGTGATGTCTACATCGGGGACTCTTCACCATCTTCAAGCAACTTAAAGAAGTCCAGATACTTTTATTTTCAAGCTCCTTAGACTACAATGACCTGGATGGCTGAGAACCTTCACAGACATCTACATGTTTAAATGCTTTGAGCTGCTGACATGTGATTGGATAATTAGATGTTTGGATTAACAAGCACTTGAACATGCATACATAAAAAGTGGCTGCTGAAGGTGTGTAGCATGACTTTACTGGAGTATACAGCAGTTGGTTCTATGTTCTCAGATTTTCTTTGTCTCTTTTCTGATAGGAAAGAGACAGTACCAATTCGCTTTTCTCAATTTCAGCCATTTAAAGTTTCAAATAAATTCTTCACTTTATATATATATTTATCTGTCTCGCTCATGTCTGCGGTATATATATATATATACCGCAGACATATATATATATATATATATATATATATATATATATATATATATATATATATATATATATATATATATATACACGCACACACATGTATATACACACACGCACACGTATATATATATATATATATATATATATATATATATATATATGAAATCAATTTTCAGTATTGATTAAAGATATGATATGATGAGATAAGTCCCTCACTTGGGAAGGTTTTACTATTATAATATCAAAATGAATAGAGAAGAAATAAATATATGCAACATAACCTATAGCCTACAACAATATTACTAAACAGCAACAGAAGAAAAATATACATTATACAAAAGAGAGAAAGCATTTGTTTTGTCAACAGGTGGCAGAATTTTATCATAAAAATGACGTATGTGCGAAAAAATATGTACCGAAGAAGAAGATTTCACTTCCGCGTCAATACAGATGTCGGAAGTCAAAGTTAGTATTTTCTGTATACTTTATACAATAAGAGTATACAGAAATCTCCCAAAACCTTATCAAAATTTCAGATATTCTGTAAATAATGCAAACATTGAAACTTACACACAATAGGTATTTTATTCTATTGAAAGCTCATTTTAGCGTTAAAAACGGGTTCGAGAGAGAGACGTTATGGGCCAATAACGTTTTATTTTGAAAACCCCAATCGGAAGTCCCATCTTGTTGTAAGTTGTATGACTTAACGGTTGAACTAATGTCAGACGTGGAGTTTAGACAGCCAGGCAATGCAGAGCTAATAAAATTTACAAGTCGTAATGACAGATGGTATGGATTACCACTGTGACTCGAGGACTTATAGACTTGTGGATTTTTTTTTGACCGTGGAATTACAGAGACGCCTTTTGTTCTGAAATGATGGCTTGATATGTTTCTCGTACCTCGGTGATCACAGTCAGAGCCAATCCGTCGCCCGCCCGCAGGGAAGCGGCGTCACAATAGCTACAAACGTGATTTCGATCTGGCAGAAACCAATTCGCCAAAAAGCCCGAAATAATGTCACCCATACCCGTCCTTCCGCTGGTCATCAACTGCTTCATGTCTGTGCTCGGCTGCTTGGCCACACTGAAACTCATTCCGGCTTTCAAAGATCATTTCATATCAGCCAGATTATACGGAGTGGATCTAAACAAAACATCCAAAAAGGAAGTGTGAGTCGTCTCCCTGTCTGTCCTTTTAGCTACACGGCTTTCAGCTTAAATGACATATTCAGTAAAATATGATAATAAATTGTTTTCCTTTTCACTCCCCTTTCTTTACAGTCCAGAGTCTCAAGGAGTCATCAGTGGGACTGTCTTCCTCATCATCCTTTTCTGTTTCATCCCAGTGCCTTTCCTCAGCTGCTTTGTTGGAGATCAGTGCATGGGCTTCCCACATGATGAGGTGAGTACACTGATGTGCAATGACCCCGTGTTTCTTTCCAGTCTGAACCTCACGTCTGACCTTTGTGTGCGTTGTTTTTGCCAGTTTGTACAGCTCATCGGTGCACTTCTAGCCATCTGTTGCATGATCTTCCTTGGTTTTGCTGATGATGTGCTCAACCTCCGGTGGAGACACAAGCTCTTGCTTCCCACTATGGCTTCCTTGCCACTGCTCATGGTCTATTTTACCAACTTTGGCAACACTGTCATAGTGGTGCCCAAGCCCTTCAGAGCACTGCTCGGACTGCACTTGGATTTGGGTGAGTTGTGTGGTTGTCCGCTGTTCTTTGTCTGGATTCACTGCTTTGAAGTCTTCCTTTAAATGGTGTTTCGTCATTTCTTCTGCAGGCATCCTGTACTATGTCTACATGGGAATGCTTGCTGTATTCTGCACAAACGCCATCAACATCCTAGCAGGCATCAACGGGATCGAATCAGGCCAAGCTCTGTTTATCTCGGGCTCCATCATCATATTTAACCTTCTGGAGCTCAGCGGTATGCATTTTCGTTTCCCGTCACACGGGTGCAGAAGCTGGACATATTTTGTGTAACATGTGGTTCTTTGCACTTTCTTCTTATTATTAGGAGATTACCGCGATGACCACGTTTTCTCCCTCTACTTCATGATACCGTTCTTCTTCACCACATTAGCGCTTATGTACCACAACTGGTAAGATAAGTCTACCAAACTCGGGAAAGTTAACATATATTTTCTGCAATCAAAAACAAAGAGCTATATGTGCAAGTCCCCCTCTAGCATGGTGATTGTAATCTGTTTTGTCACAGGTACCCTTCATCTGTGTTTGTGGGAGATACTTTCTGCTACTTTGCTGGGATGACCTTTGCTGTAGTCGGCATCCTGGGACACTTCAGCAAAACAATGCTGCTGTTCTTCATTCCTCAAGTGGTTAACTTTGTCTACTCCGTACCACAGCTGTTTCACATAATCCCCTGTCCCAGGCACCGGCTCCCGAGGTGACTGCCTGATTATGAACATCATTTATATACGATTATACCCTGTTGATATGTGTATTGCTCAACTTTTTCTTTCTTCCAATGCTCCTTCTAACTAAAGGTTGAACCCAGAAAATGGCAAGCTGGGGATGAGCTACTCTAAATTCAAAACAAAGGACCTCTCTAAGTTAGGCCACCTCATTTTGACGGTAAAGCTTTTCTTTTGCGTTTTCTCTGTTTGAGTATTCCCATGCTTTAATAGAAATTCTCCTCAACTAAGCTGTAAATCATGTCAGCTGCTGGTCTTGTCCCATCACAACTCAAAGAGGAAAGCACCAAATCCAGACTTTTGATAAGATGAAATGAGGAAATCTTTATGAATATAATTATCTAATTGCTTTGGGCAATGAAGCTGATTGTTTCTGCTCCAATTGCCTCGCGCTGTCAGCGTCCGTTATTAAAACCCAGACGCATTATTTGGTTGTGACGCAGAACACATTTTCTCATACACTGTATGACAGAGTCCCGTAAAATACTCACTGCACTGACTGCTTCCATAAAAAAAAATAACAGGGTAAATAGCAGCCAGGTGCTGCTGATCAAATGCGCTTGATTAATTGTTCATCATCAAGTGTGAGCGCCTCTATAAAAGCAGACGTGTTGGCAGTTTGCTGGTGTGAAGCATTCAGATGCTTGTTAACAAAACGCCAATGAGAGAAAGATATAAGCATTAATGGCAGAGAAGCAATTGTTGCTGCCCATCAGTCTGAGATGGGCTATAAAGTCATTTCCAAACAATTGAAGTCCATCATTCTACAGTTAGTCTTCTCACGCGTTCCAACAGATTCAATCCGTGATCACATAATACAGTTTTCAGAGAAATAATAATAATAAAAAACCCAGCAATATGGCCAAATATGGCTGTGCATGATATCCCTCCAAGTGTCACGCACGGTAACGGTGAAGTCATTCAGTCAGCCATGAATGCCTCTGTATACCAAAGTGTACTAGAGCCAAATGTGAGGCCACATTTAGCTGTCTGTTCTGTTGCATGACCCAAATGATCCCAAGAACAGCAGCAAATCTAACCTAGAAAAAAAAAGATAAAGCAACAAGCAATAAGAGTGGGCCAGAATTCTTCTACATTAATGTGACTGACTGATAAAGCCATACAGAAAACAATTAAAAGTAGTTCTACGATGTAATGAATCACAGGGAGTATCTAGTTTTTCACAGCACTGCATACAGGTTGTACCGCACATCGCAGCACACCTAGATTTGGCACATAATAATTATGCCCATGGGACAGGTTACATGCAACATAAAAAAATGACAATGAACCATATGTATCAACCTGAAAATCAGATGAATTAATCCAATACATTAATTTGCTTAATTAAAAAAATTGGAGAAGTTGATAATAACTCACAAGTTTGGATATCATGTATGAACGCGCACACACACACACAGCTGAGGCAGACCACTAGCATGCGTCGGGCTGTGTTTACTGGCTGATAACAATAAAACCTTTAATCCTCAACAGGTGGCAGAGTTATTAAAGCTGCTCGAGGTGCGCAGAGGCCATGAGGGGGATGGTGATTTTATTGAGTGCAACAACATGACCTTAATAAACCTGGTGCTGAAAGTACTCGGACCCGTCCACGAGAGAACTCTCACAGTCATCATGCTCGTCATACAGGTATAACAGAGCACCTGCAGTATCCACATATGCCTGAATATTGTCAGCCATAAAATGTTTGACTCGCCTCTCATTTCTGCGTCTCACTCAGGTGATGGGCAGCGCAGTGGCTTTTGGGATCCGTTATCATCTCGTCCGTCTCTTCTATGACGTCTAGATTACCGGGACTGAGGACGGAGTGCTGACTGAGGAAAATATGATACTGCTGTGGAACTATTTTACAGGCTCACTGTTCATTTGCCTTTTAATAGTTTCCACTACCTCACTGACATTTTTCATATTCAGACTCTTTCTGCAGTAAAGACCCAGAGCAAGGATTAAAGCTTTATTTAACTTCACCACAACATTTTCATATATATGTACAAGCAGAACGGCTAATGATTTGATGCCAACAGTAGCGCTCTCCTGGGATTCAGTCATTACAGTCAGGGAAATGTAACTGGGTCTTAATCACCCCACGTGTTCAACCTGAAAGTATATTTTTATACTTGGTTTTTAAAAAGAAAGTCTGTCAAGTTTTGATCTTCGGTGTAGCAGACATCGCTGACTTGCAAATGTAGAAATCCTCTAAAAACTGGTCAAATATTCACATGTTCACATACTGCTTTAACCTGCTGTTGAGAGAAAATGTGCCTACTTACACTTTAATGCAGTTATGGTAGGAATATTAAACTCATTTAGTGCTTCTTGGTTGTTTCTTTTCCCTCTCAACAAAAGTCACAACAACAAAATGATTGTTGTGAAGAACAGCAGTGAAATATCAAAGGAGTGTAGTCATCAATAAAGTGTGAGGAGATGATTAAATAGAGGTCATGAAGTCACATGACCACGTCCTGATTGTGGAAAAAGCACATCCCGATTAAAGATAACTGATCGTCTTTGCTTTTCTTTCATCAAATATATAGCCGTGTTGTTTAGGACTGAGCATCATCCCAACGGTTTCAGAAAGAGCATCAACGTGAAGTCAACTGGCACTGGACTTTTTTATTTAGGAATGTAATTACAAGTGCAAAACTGTTTACTGAGATTGAAGGCACAGATTATCAAATAAAAACGGGAAAAATGATGATGTAAGATTGTGTTGTATTAATACTTGGGAGAAAGTGTGCTAAATTATAGTGCTTAAAGTGTTTCCGTTATAGTTCAGAAATGGGACCAAGTCACAGTTTGTGTGGTTTTACCTCTCTCATGCTGAATTGTAACACAAGCAATCAATATACAATTGAAGTGCAGACATTTTACCAAAAAATTTAGCATTACCTGTTTATCCATTGTATACAAATAGCTGAAAGGGAGGACATGCAGAGGGTTGGTGAGACAGAAGAGAGTGTTAGGGTTAGATTGAGGCAGGTGATCCGCTGTGGCGACGCCTAACGGGAACAGGTTGTGGGTTGTTTGACATGGAAGACCCAAAGAGTCACTCACCTCAAAACAGAACATTTTGTGCTTTATTAATGAATTGTGCAATGAAATGTGCGCTAGTAAAATCTTTTACCAAATACTTTTTCATAATCTTTAATTAGACATCACTAAACTTATGATTAAAGCACAAAATACTTTGATTTTGATGTGTGGAATTCTTCTGGTCTTCCATAATTGTAAGCGTGTAGTAAGGTGATATTTTTGCCTTTAAAATGTACACAGTGTCCACTAGTATAAAATAAAATTATAGGAGCATAAATGCCCTAAATTTATACTTAAGTAAAATATTTGAATAAATGTCAATAAAAATGAAGATTTATTGTAAATATCTTCCAATTGTTAACTGTAAATACAAAAAGGAATTTTTTTTTGCGTAGGAACTATTTAACTAAACTTTGTTTCAAGGGGAACGTCGGTGTTGTTGCACAGCCCGCGTTTGTGGACGGAAGAAGAACAGGTCCGATGAATACGAGCTCTCTTTTAACGCTGTCGTGAAGCTTATAACAATTTATGCTTTTAGCTTATTAAACAGTTCTCTGCTGGTGTTTCAGCAACACTGTGGAGACTGTTTAATGTAAGCTAGCAGCTTAGTTGCTGGGCGGTCAGGTGATGGTCAAACAGCGTTTGCGACTTCGGTCCTGGAGCGAAACGTCTGACATTTAGTCCAGTTGTGACTCGGAGAGATGCCTCCTAACAAGCGAATGCAGAAGAAAGCACTCAAGCTGGAGTGTGAGTGGGGTTCATGCCAGGAATCATTTAATCGGATGGAAAACTTTTGCAAGCATGTGGAGGGTCATCTAAGTGCTTTGGAAGAGGAGGAGGAGGAAGAAGAAACAGAGGGTGAGGTGAAACGCAGCTTCGTGTACGTGTGGCACCTCCATAGCTGAGGTGTTTGTTTTGGAGATGTAGCGTGAGGAGCTGGACAGGAACGTGTTTTAATGATTTGGTTCAATAGGCCTTAACCAGTGTGGCCTCACTTACTGCACGTCTAGACCACCACTAGAAATGACGAGAGTTTTTATCCATCAGCTACTTATTCATAACATTCGGCCACTAGATATTGAATTGGATTAATTTACTTAACTTTGCTGGCATCCAAAGTCCTGATGATAAACAAGGCATTCAGATAGATAAGTCATACTGATCCTTTGCCCAAAGTGATGATTCCTCCTAATCTAGTCTCTTTTACTTTTTGTGCAAAGGGGAGAGAAGCTGTCTGTGGAGAGACTGTGGTTTTTGCTCCGTGGAGGGATCTGAAGAGTTGCGGCGACACGTGTTCTTTCACTGTTATCACACTAAACTAAAGCAGCTGGGTCAGCAGGTTCTCAGTGCCCATCCAAAAATCGGCAACTGCTCCATCGCCTACCACAATCGCAACATCATCCCTGAAATCCCAGATAATTTTGTCTGCCTTTGGGAGGAATGTGAAGTAAGTTTGCTGTATCTGCTGCTGGTGAAAGACGAGAGTAGCAGATACATTGAGCATTGATGGAGCTTTCCCAAATCTTATGCTGCCAGTTCTATAGACACTAATGCTACTTCGTAACGTGAGAGGTCTAGGGTTTTGAACCGAAGCCTGAAAACAAGCTGGCTAGTCTCTCCACTGTTCACTCCAGAGAACATGACATCCATGTTTTCCAAAAAGAATTGCAAATGTTAATTCGTCTGACATCAGAAAAGGTCTCTGCTTTGCTTCACTCTATTATAAATGAGGTTTGGCCCAGAGAAGACAGCAGTGTTTTGGATTATGTTCATAAATGGCTTTTTCTTTGCATGACAAAGCTTTAACCTGCTTTTGTGGATGGCACTGTGAACTGTGTTCAGATCTCTGTTAGTGTTCCTGAACCCAGTATTTCTGAGTTTTTAAATGATCTGTGTAGTAGAGTTAAACTAATAATACATGTGGCTCTGTAACTCTCTTAATGCACATGTGTTAAAGCAACCACCGTATGAAAACCCTGAGTGGTTTTATCGCCATGTGGAAATGCACAGCCTGTGCATAGAGATACCTACAGGAGACTGTGAAATCCCGATCCGCTGTGGATGGAAAGGTACGCTTACAGTGTTTGTTTTTTTTCAAATGTAAATGTTAAGTGAAGATTGTACAGCTGTACATTTTCAGTGTCGAGCTGAGGATTTCAGACTTTTGAATCCAGGTTTTGTGCCTGTCATTTTCAGACTGTGAAGCGACTGCTAAAGGCCGTCCTAAGCTGCGAGAGCACCTGCGCAGCCACACTCAGGAAAAGGTGGTGGCATGTCCCGGCTGTGGGGGGATGTATGCCAACAATACAAAGCTGTTTGACCACATCATACGACAGAGCGCCATGGAAGGTAGATTCTGTCAGATTTATGAAATTAAGCTTAGTAATGTTAAAAAAAAACCTTTAATAATCGAACAATCTGTGTCGTGTCACATAGGTCAGAGGTTCCAGTGCTCACACTGCTCCAAACGTTTTGCAACAGAAAGACTTCTGAGGGACCACATGAGGACCCACGGTCAGTTATGCTTCATTGTGCTTTTTTTTTTTTTTTTTTACACATGAGCTTATGCCATGATGAGGTGTCCATCCATACACAATTCACAAAAAATGATACTCCTGGAGTATGAAGCAAATCTGTTCCATACTCTTGGAGGTGAAGCTTTCACACATTGTTCATCTACCAGGTCTTCACTCAGATTGTGTTTAAGACTAAGACTTTATTTCTGCATGTCACACATTACAATAACCCGGGAATTGTGATGGACTGTGAGCCAGATGAGTTAATCAGCATCTTTCTGGATCTTTTCTGCTTCATAGTGAGAGCATCCAGTTTTAAAATGAAGCATTTCACAACTATTTCTTGGCTTGACGCAACCAAAAATAAAAATAGTCCTTCACAGTGTCTATTTTTGATCTGCTGAGCATGTGATGCACTTTGTTGTGAGTGAGTGAAGAAATCCTGTTGCCAACAAACAACTCTGTAGTCTTAATATAGACAAATTTAATTTCCCCACTGCTTTATTGGGACAGTGAGCCACTACAAATGCCCATTATGTGACATGACGTGCCCGTCGCCCTCTTCACTGCGCAACCATATCAAGTTCCGCCACAGCAACGAGAAGCCATACAGCTGTGACTACTGCGAGTACAGGTACCCAAACCCCTGAAACTTCACCAATTTAAGTCAGGATTAAGTTATTAAACAGACAATGACATTTGCTCCCACCGTTTTTAAAAAAAACCAAAAAACCTCACAGCTGTAAGAATCTGGTCGACTTGCGCAAACATCTGGACACCCACAGCAGCGAGTCAGCCTTCCACTGTGACGTCCCTGGCTGTGGCTTTACATCTCGAGCCGCTTGCACCATGAAGATTCACCACAAAAGAGAGCACGAGGTGATGTTTGAAGTGTTTGTTTAAACTTGCGTTCAAGTAGGGATTTTTGATGTTTTCATTGATGATTGTGTTTTATTTCCATAACCAGGGGAGTTTTGTAGCTCGCTACAAGTGCCATGTGTGCGGCCAGTGTTTCACCAGGGGCAACAACCTAACTGTCCATCTGCACAAAAAGCACCAATTTAAGTGGCCGTCCGGACACCCCAGGTTCAGGTGAGTGTTGCAGTGAAGCAGCTGCAGTAATGGCTATTGCAACGCTTGAAGTCTTTATTCGCTCTTGACAGATACAAGGAGCACGAGGATGGTTTCTTGCGTCTGCAGCTGATTCGCTACGAGAGCGTGGAGCTGACCGAGCAGTTGATGCGAGAAAGACAAAACAGGCAAGCGGAGGAGGACGGCGGCAGCGAGCCGACGGAAGGTCAGGAGCTGCAGGAAGGAGCAGCTCCTGCAGAGGTGCAGGTGGAATTGAAAGGGGTGCTGCTGGAAGAGCAGAGGATCGACGAGCCAGGCTCGACAGTTGGCGCTGAGGAAGGCGGACAGGAAGAGGGCATGCTGTATGTCCTCACTGGAGGACTGTCACAGGCAGGAGAGGAGTCTGTAATGCTGCAGCTCCAGGATGCTGCTCAGCAACAGGAGATGGAGGTGCTTTGACTTGATGCACATCCTGAGCAGGCACAAAGTACACAGTCACACTCTTCTTGGAATTCATGAACTTCTACAAAAACCTGGCTTGGATTTGAACAGAAAGCGAACTGCTTTACTTAAATTATAACATCTGAATTAAGGAACACGTACTGTTATGATTCATGTTGAATGTAAGCCTATATTAGGCAAGTAAACTGTTTTTTATGTGTTTATTTGCTAATGTGTAGCATCTTAATTTTAAACTGTTTTCAGTTAGATGTTCGTGTCTCGTGCTGTAAAATCTGTTGAGACAGTTGAAGGCTAATGTTGCACTGCCTGCTGGGTTCTCAATCAATCAAATTCAGAGATACATCAGCTGAAACCTTTAAAGGTTAAGAACATGAGTCATGGGACGTCGTGTTGTCATTAATATTCAACAGAATCTGGATTAAAGCTAAGAGGGCTCACCTTATCTCGCAGAGTGTGTACCTTTCCCAGTTAAACTTGAATAAACACGTGAAACCTTTTTGTCTATTTTTTTATGTTTTGTAATATTTTTTTAAGAGTGAACTTTTTTCTTTATGTATTACATACATTCATCATCTGTTTTAGCTCCACCTGCTAAATCTAACTGCACTCCTGCAGCTCTGTTACTGATATACACGGCTGTATAATTGACATCTCAATCGTCTAAAATGTCTCGACTGAACTCAACTGAGCTGTAAATCTAAACGTTGTCTCTGTAGTATTGTTAACGTCCACATTCACCACCCACATCATTAGTTACACCTTGTTGGTACCAGTTTGGACCCCCTTCTGCCTGCACAGCTGCCTTAATTATTTGTCACTTAGATTCCACAAGGTGCTCGAAACATCTCTCTGAGAGTTTGACATGATAGCATCACACAGTCATCGCACATCGGTGATGTGAATCTCCCGTCCTGCAACATCTCAAAAGAGTTCTATTGGATTGAGATCTGGTGACTTAAGGGCATGTTCAAGAAACCAGTTTGAGATGACTTAAGCTTTGTGACATGATGCGTTACAATGGAAATCCAGGCTCATCAGACCAGGCGTTGCCTTTTCAATCTTTTGTTATTCAATTTTGGTGAGCCTGTGAAATTTTAGCTTGCTTTTCTTGTTCTTAGGAGACAGGAGTGGCGCTCAGAGTGTGGTCTTCTGCTGCTGCAGCCCATCTGCTTCATGGATGGTCAAGTTGTACATTCAGAGATACTCTTTTGCATACCTTGGTTATAATAAAGTTACATTTTCAGCCAGAGAAATACTGTTCTCTGGATATTTTCTCTTTCAAACCATTTTCTGTAAACTCTAAAAAGGGTTGAACTCATACCAGCCCGTCTGGCACCAACAACCATGCTATGTTCAAAGTCGCTTAAATCATCTTTCTTTTCTTTGTTTGAACTTCAGCAGGTTGTTTTCAAGCAACAAGGCCAACATTAGGTTTGTTTTCTGCTTTTCTCATACAAGAAAGACAAAAAACCCCAGAAAACCATTACAATTTTTCATGCTGACCAAAACAAAGTTCTATATTTCTCTCAATATATTCTATATAATTATATATATTTCATATATTTTAGTTAATCCATCTAATGTGAATGATGTGCATTGGATAAAGCGTCTGTGTTTAAGGTACAAGTACCTCTGTTATCCATCACTCGTCTCATCAATTTGGAGACGGTCGTTCTTTCATCCCTCTTCTGCTTTAAACCTATAAAAACCTTTGATCAGGTGTAGAGCTGGGCGATAGAACGATAACGATATGTATCGCGATATAACTTTTACTCGATAGAGAAATTAAGCTATCGCGATAGACTTCGCCGCTCTTGTCCTCAAAGAAAAAAAAAAAAAAGGTCAGCCAATCCAAATTAAGTAACGCAGAGCCGAACCAATCACAGCCGCAGCGTCACGTCGCGTGGCTTGTTACGTGCCAAGCCGCACGTGTGTTGTTTGGAAGTAGCCAGCGGGTAATGGAGGAAATGAGTGTGCCGACTAGAAAAATCAACCGAGCGTGACCGAAGAGAAAAAAGATGATGGTTCCAATGCCGGAGAGATTGTCAAACGGAAGAGCCATAGAAGTTCCGTAGTGTGAAGGTATTTCGGCTATTTCAAGTCTGACAAAAAACAGAGTAGCGTGCACTGTAAATTGTGCCGAAAGCAAGTCTGGAAATACAATAAACTGGAGCATGCGTCACACTGTGCGCCACGTTATTGTTTCGGTGAAATGAATTTCTACAATACTGTTACTGTTAATTCTACTCTCTGCAGTGTTTAAATGCTTACATATACACACAGTTACTGTCCCTCCACACATACAACTCGGTTCTGCTTCTATGCCCCAGCTTTGTTTACTTTTTCCCACCGAGGCTTCTAGACTTCTGATTGGCCAGCATTTCGGCACGGTTAGGAATCTAGCTCCACCTGCTGCTTTGGCATGTTCATAGCAGCGTTTTCCTTCATTTCTGCCTTTATGTGTGGACGGGATTATTTTTTAAAACGAAAACGGAAAATCTCAGTTTTCAAAAATACCCGTGTACGTGTGGACGTAGCCTCAATCTCTGACTGGAAGCGCTAATTCGTCATTCGGCTTTTGTCAGACTAAAGTAACTGTTAAAACTGTTTGAAAAGCTCAGCTATACAACAAGGAGAGATTGAGAATTTCCTTTTAGTGCTCAGTTTATTTGATATTGACAAAAGTTAGTCAGTTTTGTCTGTTCTTCTGTAAAACAAACTAAGATTTATTTTTAGAATTAATATTTTGTTTCTAAGTGGAATTGACAATTTAGTCTGTTTCGTTTGTTCTATTTTGAAACTTAAACGCTTTAGCGGCTGCCTTTTGTGTAGTTTGCAATATTTGCCTTTATTTATCTGAAAAAGTCTCATGTTCCATAAGTACATCTACCCTGTTGAACTTATTATGGGAAATAAATATTTAAATAAAAACAAGCTGCTGATTATTTCACATTTCACTTGTGAGCAACGGCACATTTAAATCTTACAAATATAGTTATTTGGCTTATATCGTGATAGATATCGTTATCGCCTGAAATGAAAAAAACATATCGTGATATGAAAAAATCTCATATCGCCCAGCTCTAATCAGGTGTCAAAATCGTGACACAGCTTTGCCCAAGTGGAGTCCCAGGATGATAAACAGTGCACAGCATTAGCTGTTTGTAGAAGATTAGGCAGCACACAGAGCTTAGTTGAAGCGTTACTTAAACTCTCTCTCGCTGCTTCCTCTTCCTCCAGTGAGTGAACTCGGTTCTCCTGGGACTGATTCTAACGGCTTCATAGTCTAGTGATGGCGTAGTATAATGCTTCTAGTTGGTTCCTGGGTGCACCTAAAACATTTTTTTTAGAAAAACTACTTCATCAGGAGATGGGAACTGTGAGATTTTACATACTGCTGCTCCTGTTGTTGTTTGGGTCCATCCACAGAGGGACATCTCAGTTTCCTGAGTGGAATGGAGAGCTGGAAGGTAGTGGTAAGATCTCCTTTTCTGACACTGTAATGCTATTCTTCACTAACTTTCTGGTTACTAAGTCATGGCATACATGAATGTTTGTCCAATCCTTGCGTATTAAGAAGCCAATGATTTAGTATTTTTCTTCTTCAGGTGAGATTGAATCGATTTCCCAGCCGAATTTCATAGATGACACATACTGGTCTGGGTCAGCCCCGCTTTGTTTAGGAGGTTGTAAAGCGCGGCACTGGGAGCTGAGGAGAGATCGCTGTGGAGACTCTAGCTGCTGCTGGCTCGGCTACAAATCCTTGTGCAGAGGTAAGACACAGAATCAGAGCGAAGAAACAAAAGGTCACTTGTTAAAAATACCTTCGTCTTGTGCTTTGTATTTCCTGCATTTCCTTTTCTCTGTGTGTCAGTGAACTGTGGAAGGCCAGATGTGGACTACAATGGAGCAGTGTATGGTAATGACTGGTGGGTGGGATCTGTGGTGAGGTACACCTGCCGCTCAGGATTCAGGCTTATTGGAAACTCTACCAGATCATGTCAGCCTAATGGCCTCTGGACTCCAAAACCTATCTGCCTACGTGAGTCCACACAAACCGCAACAAAACAACAACAACAGCAATAGGTTTTCTGACCCAGTATCAACATTTACACTCTTTGACCTGCCTTTTAGGAATGTGTAAGCAGGGGCAGATTGAAATCAGCGAGCGTGAACTGAGTGGGACATGCAACTCCACCTGCGTGGGTAAGAGCTACTTCGGCCCACCCAAACGAGGCTGCTCTCAGATAGACAACTGCAGGAAGAAGGAGACCGGCTGGAAACGGTTCTTTGCACAATGTGTCCCTTGCATTTGTGACTGCGCTTTCTCGTGTGGTGAGTTGCTTCCACCTCCACATTGTCAGGACAAATGCAAAGCAGAATGAGCATGCTGCGGTGCTGTCTGTGTACAAATACATTTGAATATTGCTCTACACATGAATTTGCTATCCTTCTTTCAGGAATGATATCTGCTTTGTTTTTTTTGTTTTGTTTTTTTCAAGTGTCTGCAGGCTAAAACACAGAGATGCTTACAGTGTAACAAGGCTGCAGACAAAGAGGAGACACAGACCGGCTGTAGACCAAAGAGTCACGCTGCATTTCTGCTGCTTCATCCAATTTTAAGAACAAATCTGGGTGTTTAAGGACAATAATTTAATCTCTCCGGCACACACTCCAAGCCTGCCTGCCTGCTTTCTGTATGTAAAGGATTACATGGCAAGAACAAATCCTTCTGGCACGCCAGTGTTAAGTCACTCTTTAGGATGCAAAGCGGCGAGAGGGTCAGAAAACAAAAGGGAGGACAAATTTAGTGAAAGGCACCTGAGAGGTTTAGATTAGATTCAAGTTCAGCAATTATTTGAAATAGAAAGCGACTTTGGCTGATTTTTTTGGGCTTTTCAACATTATTTCCTGTCTAGATATATATATATATATATCTCTCATACTATATTTAGCTTGGATGTCTGCAAACACATGCACATGTTTACTTTCCTCAGATAAGGATGGGAATCAGAGAAACAAGGAAAGAGGGAAGTGAAGCCAAAGAGATTGGCATCTTGCGTCTCCTCTCAGCCCATCTGTCGTGGAAGGAGCTGAGACCTTAATCTTGTTATAAGATGTTTGTTCAGGGGTCAGAGTTAACAGAGAGAGTGGTGTAGAACTGTTAACAGCATTTATACTTTAGGTGTCATGCTGTGTGTACTTTTATTTTCAAGTTATTTATTGAGAAATGTATATCACAAGCCAATTGTATGAATGTGAAATGAATTAAAAACTACTCATGTCTTTGAAATCAAAGGTTTAACATTTAAAGCGATGATTTCTGAGCCATGCAGACCTGAAGCAGAGCTTTACAGATGGCACTAATATTATTCTGATTGGATTATATTATCAGTCATCCCCCGTGTCCATCATCCCATCGCTCCTCACAAAACAACTACTGAGCATTAGGCTTCCAGGCAGGCCTGTGACACTTGATATAGTTCCAAATTAAAAAATGGTAAGAAGTAGTGTGGAGAAAGCAAGTCACTAATCAAAGATTTTCAAAAGATATATGACAAAATATTTAATAAGTTTTGACCTCTGCTCCCATTTAATGGCTTATATGTTTTATATATTTTAAAATCACATTAAAAGACTTCAGAATTTTTTTTCCTCTGTCTTTTTTTTACTCAACTAAAATCGATTTCATTTTGAAACCGAAAAACAGACTCAAAATGTGGGTTTTTTTTTTCCTTTCACTGCCTTTAATAAGCGACATTACAGGTTAAACCACTAGATGTCGCTGTTTTGTCACAAAGTGCATCACAAGTGTGAGATTTAGGACTGATTCCCTTCCACTTGTGATCCTGAGGAGTTACTGCTCAGCATGCATCACTGTTGAGGACTCCAGGTGGTGTACCTCAAGACGATGTGCTCATCCGCTTTGGGCATGTAGCAGCCGATCCCTGTACGACGTTTAGATGACAAACACTGATATTTACACACATACAGCCTGACAGAGCATTATAACAGAAACAACAGCAATAGAAATAACAATGGGGCGTAGCATCCTTTCTCTAAAAGACAAAAAAACATGCTTTAATAGATAAATCACTATTAATGTGTAGTATCACCACCTTCTCCTTCTATAAAAGATAAACACGCACAAATGTTGTCAGAGCAGATAATTTTTCAATAGCTGTAGGAGGCAGTAATTGAAAAAGACAACCCAATCTCCTGTCTCATTATGGCTCATTAAGTCGTCCTCAGATATGCTGAGGTGAAGCTCTGGGGATGACACTCACCTACATCCAGTCTGTCGAATTCTCCAGAGCTTTCAGACAGGATCTCCCAGTATGTCTTCTCATCCTTATTTCCAGCCACTCCATTCACACTCTCCAAGAACAGGCCAAAGTTTGGGTCCTCCTTCACTGTGAACCTGGCAACACAAACAGTCAGGGCTTTAAGAGCAGAAATGGGTCACCCTCAGCTTAAATATGTAAGAGAATCAGCCGGGGCTCCTTTTTAGCAATAAAGCATGCTAGACAGTTATATTAAAGGGGATGTCATGGGTGGACTTACTTAAAGTCGTGCTGTGCATCGTGCAGTCTCCTCAGAGCTCCCAGCAGCACACCTCCCTTTACTACACTGCTGGAGTAGGACTTGAGAGGCTCGTTAGACTGCTCGTTCTCCACAGACAGTTTGATAGAGAGGGATCCTGATTGTGCACGCAAAGCAATTCACATGTGATACAATTTATGATGCACGTCTACAAAAGATCAAAGCTTCTGTAAAATTTACCTTCATCTGTGTCTGTAAGAGCGCCACGTGTCAGCAGGAGGAAAAAGCCCACAGAGAGCAGAGCTGATGTCCTTAGTGCCATGTCGAGCGATCTTCTATCTCAGATGTGTGTCTAACACCACATCACCTCACTACTTATAGCATGCCTAACCCACATTTGTAAGCAAACTCCAGTCCCAGAAAGTCACGAGGCACTCTCACATACCTTTGTTGAGGTTAAACATTCACATTCACATCCTGAAACTTAAAACTAACACAGAAGTGCTTTTATGTGACAATCAATGATGGTTAATGTGTGCTTTATAAATACAGAAACACTGTTATCTCGGAGGTTACACTAGATGATTCATGATCTGTCCTGTGGCTGTGGGTTTTTCTTTCAGATGGGTGGGAGAATATCTCTTTCCCTAAAGACAAATATTATGTTACGCAAACAAATTTTTCTTTCTTTTTTCTTTTTTTTAATCTTGACAGTAGAATAATAAATGTAAGTGAACTAAATGTGACCCAAGTCTTATCAGACGAACCTGGTTATGGGGGCACAAAACATCAATATAGAACTAAAAACGGCAGGTTCACCTTTATTTTGTGAACTGACTTATCCCCCATCACACCAAGGATGATCTACAGAGAATTCAATTAAAAGAACCAAAGTTTAAACCTGCTGATTTAGGTCTAAACCTTACCGTCTGAAAAAAACAATATGGTCCCTCCTCTTAGCAAAATGAGTCTGGCTGAGAAAGAGAGTAATAGGCTGGTTTGCTGAAATTGCTCGTCTGGCCACCAGAGAGTGAGAGCTCGTTTTAAGTTAGTCTGATTAAGAGGCAGGTGCGATTGGCTAAAAATGGTTTTGATTTCCTCTCAGGGGTGATGTAAGGCATGTAGGGCCCGCTTGAACGCGAGTAACCCCGTCTGTTTTACCGAAAATAACCCGGGCACTGCAGCATCAGCACCAGGCAGCTGCGCAGGTGCGGCCTTTAAAGAGACAGAGGGGCCTCATGTTTACAGCGATGGAGCCAGACTTTATCATATGTATCAGCATTGGATGTATACACTTAGCACATCTATGCATATACAGGCTGTATATTGTACGTTACCCCAGCAAGAGACAGCCCCAAATAACCACAGAGCAGAAATCAGCACAAAAACATGTTTAAATTGCGGTCACAGAGGCCAATTTAATCAAGAAGGCTCTAGCAGTCACAGCGATATGAATATATTCAATTAACTGTTTATGAGTTCCCAGTTTAAGTTCAGTGTCCCAGCTTTAAATCCTCCCAGTATTCTTAAAATGTTTCGGAAATGTGCTTATTATCGATCAGCCCTGCTGTCGATTATTGTTCACAGGTTTTATTTCCAATTCATTAAAAAACACCAGGTCGGGATGACGATTTGATCTGTCAAAAAAACAAAACACTGTTTCCTCCACTAGCATCTTGCCAGCAACGCCCTGCATCCCAGACCGGCGTGCGCACCACACAGACGCACTAACCGGCGAGAGGATAACGGCGGCTGCTCTGTCGGGCTGCAGCTGATGCTGCTGAAGCATCTGCAGCGCTGTTTGCTTGGTTTAGTGTGTGTGTCTGTGTGTGTGATTCCAGATGTCACCGACTGAGGATTGGCGTCCACACCGCTGCGGGGGATGTGTGTGAGTACAGGCCGTTTGGATGCGAGTTCGGGACGGACGGATTTCATGAAAGGAACAATCTCAGCGAGGGAAAACATGACAGTCTTCCCGCTCCCCTGACGATTCTCCGGGATGCAGTCATAGTCTGAGGCCGGACATGATCTTAATCTCAGGGATTGCTGTAGTTGATGCGGGATGATGTGCGCCGCACCCCGAGTGATATTGATAAGGGGAACACAGCTCGGTCCTTCACTACCCCGCTGATTTTTTGCTTGACTGTGGCTCGTAGTGATCATCTTCATTTATTTATTTTTATTATTTATTTTTTATTTTTTGAATTTTTTTGCTGGGCTGGGACTATTTGGGAGACCTTCTGATGTGGAAGGACTGGGCTATTTTGCCTGAAGGGATCAATTGAGCACTGTTGCTCTCACCCGGAGGGAAACCAGGGCTGAGCTGCTCACCTGGTCATTTCAACACAAGTATGTGAAATGTTTTTCGTGTATGCGCGTGCATGTGTAATGAAACACACTGCATATTTAGAAATGACCGGTGAAGCCACTTTTACTGCAAGGATGTCCTCAGATCATACTAATGTATGACTCATCTACTTAAAAAAGTCACTTCTGCTAAATACTGTATCTGGCTTTCACCCTTTTACTGTTAACAGGTGCTTTTTGGAGAGATGTGAGCATCCCTCACCACCAATGGCAAGTCTCTGCAGGGCGCAGAATCAGTGCATATTGCACTGCTATACATTATAGTGATAACCATATTTCATCCCCCTGTATAGGAGACTTCTTCTATGGCTGTCTGAGCTCATGTGTCCTGTCTTTAGGGCCGCACATGGTGAAACACTGAGGCCTTCCTCTGACTGAGAGGCCATTAAAGTCTGTCAGGGTTTTACAACGCTTATATGCAGGCTTGTAATGGAAAGTCACTAATGGGAGGATGATCAATAGAAGCCTTGGTCAATCTTCATCACTGGCCCTCCTTTATCTGAGGATATTTTATTACACATACAGTAGGTCATCAGTGGCAGACACTGACTCAGAGTACTACTGCAAGCACTGCAAGGCTTGCATGACAGCAGCAGACGTTTGTAGCCTTTACAGTAATCGCTTAAACAGTTTGGATTTGCAAATACGCATCCCACAAATGTTTTCTGATATACTTTTACATCCATCCCAAATTTCAGTAGTATATGTGATCTGATTGGTGTCGTGTAATAATCGTCAGTGGTACCTGCAATGATCACACTTGGACATGGCTAAGTGGATGATCTGGCGTGGTTTGTGTATGTGTATATTGCATGCATTGCAATATCCTGTTTATTTGTATCTGTCCACAATGGCTAAAACTGTCCTAAAGACATAATCATATTATTATTATTATTATTACTGTTATTATATTATTATTATGGTCATTTCAGACTTGCATAACTAGGTTTTTCTTTTTCAAAATTATTTGGATGTAATTTTGTAATTTTATGCATTAGTTTTGTTCTCTTAAAATTAGACACATACAAGACTTTTATATTATAAGAAAGATGATTATAAATAGTATAAATAGTATGTAAATAGTAGCTTGTTAAATATACATACGACCCACTAAGTCAGAGCAATCTGTGAACATACAGATAGTAGTCTCCACATTACTATGAAGGACATGCCAGTAAGCAAGTTCAACAATTTTGGACAATATCACACAAAATTTGATATAAGCCTGCTGCTTAAACACAGACATTATTGATCAAATGCATCTATACCATTTTTTCACCAATGCACCAATATGTTTGGTGTAACATGAATCTAGTAAATTTCATTTGCCCAGATTCCAATTTAAGTTTTTGTACTTATGTAATAACATTACATGTGATCAAGTTACTTAGAGTCAGGACTTTGGGCCTACATCATTCACTCACACAATAGTACTTTAATATGTTTATGTTGATGTGTAACATCCACGTAGTTCATTTAAAGGTTCTTAATAAAAAAAACTCGTACTGGTCAAAACCAGGCCACTCAATTAATTCCTTAAGCTGTCTGAATTAGGCCCGTTATCCCCCGAGTTAATTAAACTTAGTTCTAATAGTAATTTATGTGTGTCAAAACCTATTGACTATCATTAATGATTAATGAAATAACTGTGTTATAATTTTGTTTACACTTCCAACAGGCTGCTTTGACTCGGGGTGAATTTGTGTGAATCAGCAGAACTGCAAGTGTGCTGCAGGACTGAAACCAGATCCCAGCTCCTCACGCTCTGAATCTCATTCCCTTAAAACAGCCAGTCCATAGAATAAACTGTAATCAGATCATGTCCGGCACCTAGTTTTAGGATGATGTCTCCAGTTAAACTAAAACCATTCCTGGAACACACCCTTACGCACTCACCTCTGCTGAGCCTACAAAAGTCTATCAGTTTGTTCACTATGTAGAAATACTTCAAATGAATTAGAGCTGCTGCGTGCATAGTGCCGTTTACCGGCTAAAGTTTGAATTAATCTGGTTTATTATGGTGTCTTTTATTTCTAACTACATCTAGCACGTGACACAAAAACTATCTCTGTCAGCTATACTTTGTGATTAACGAAGCTTGCTTTGGTTCATTTATCAGGGGAGCTACACTTCATAACCTGTATAAAACCAGAGATACGAGACGCCATTGCTTTTGAAGCAGAGACTGACACGTCTCCCTCTCGCCCTCCCCTGCAGCCTTTCAGCATGGCTGAGAAGACGATCGAGCAGGGCTCGGTCAGCATCCCCATGGAGGAGACCAAACTTCATGGCGGAGCGCCTCAGGAGGCGCCGCTGCTCACCCACCTGAAGAAAGTGGAGAACCACATCACTGAGGCCCAACGCTTCTCCCACCTCCCACGCCGCTCCGCTGTGGACCTGGAGTTCAATGAGCTTTCGTACACCATCCGGGAGGGTCCGTGGTGGAGGAGGAGAGGTACGGGCAATGCTTAATTCACACAGTAACCATGATGGATGAGCAAGCAAACATTACCAATGGCGATCAATACGAGGAGGCCTTTAAAAGCCTTTGTGACATTTAAGAAAAACAATTTTTTCTTGTTGTTGTTATTTTCTGTTACCTTTCTCCATTATTCTGCCACATATATCCCAGCCCACTACACACACACACACTCACACTCACAGACCTCCACCATGTTGTAGCAGCCAGTGTGCCTGCAAGCTTTGCTGCGCTCAGCACAGTTTAGACATAGTAAATAATTTACACTTGCAGGTTGGCACGCTGCTTGCGTCTCTTTTGTGGCGATGGCGAGTCAAGCCCATGATTGAGCTGTTGAGCTTGAGCTTGTGAAATACAAACAGCGCTTAAACTCAACGCCCTTGTTGCTGATGAGCCTCCAGCCTTCAGTCGACTCGTCAAATAAACCACCCTCCGCAAACTGTTCGGTTTAGCTGCTTTTTTTAATGCTCTATATGCTCAAAAGGATGGGGGAATGTGAGGATAAAGGGTGCTTCAGAGGAATCCTTTATTTACACTAGGCACATGTTACCCTAGGAAAGCCTCTACATGATGCATTGCAGGTTGTGCTATTTTCAGTCTTTTGTAATATTGATGCGCATTATGGAAGCCTGGCAGAGGAGTATTGTGAAACCTGAATTCGTGGAGAGTATCAACAAGGAGCGAAGAGGAACAGCGAGGGTACCTCTAGCTTGGATCAATAATCCAGCGTTGCTTTGTCCATTGAAGCCCATGTTTTTTGGAGGCTAGTTTATTAAAATCAGCCCCTGGTTTGCTTCTGTTTTCTCATCGGGGTGCCTGCCTCAGCTCATCAGCCTGATGATGTGTGAACAGAAAGTGTTTCTCCATCAGCTTTTGCAAATTAAGTGGCTCCATTCATAAAGAGGTTCTCCTTGTCATTTTACCCTCTGTCCAAACTCGCTGAACCTCCGATCACGCCTCATACTGGGCCCATCCTGCCCATTTGTTTTAACCAGCAAGCCACACCTAACTTTCTAATTTCACCTGTGCTGGAGTTTATTCTGAGGGGCTTGTCTGTGTTTGTGCCTCATTTACCCAGCTAAGCTCAGAGCTGCTCCTCTCTGATCAAAGCTGCAAAGACAGTGTAACAGCACAGAGCTTAGAACTGCTGATCTGCTGTGTGCGTTTATATCAAGTAAAACACACACGTTTTTATATAATTCCCACTGAATTACACATTGTAGGACAGCAAAGAGGACGAGCCGTGAGCAAGTGACGCCATTTGTATTTAATGTGTTTAAGTCTTTTGGTTAGCGACACACTGCTTGTGAGTCACCTCTGAAAATCTCTGTGATGAGCAGGAAGCAGAAGAACTTGTAATGCAGTGAACGTAGTTTCTGTTTACTGTAAGTCAGTGGAGGAAGGTAATGCATGAGCCGTCCTCTGTCTGTGTTATTGTTATTGTGGGCCCTTTTGTCGTGAGGCCAGTTATTTATCGCTGCTAGGATGAAGCTACTGTGACCCGCTTTCATGTTGAGGATATTTTCCTCCCGAGGGAGATAACTGGTGAAACACTAGCTCATACTTAAAAGGGGAGGGAGGGAGGAAGGGAGAGTGGGAAATGTTTACATGCCCCCAGGCGATTTACTGTGAGTTGCTCATTGCACCTGCACTGATCATCTGGTTAGTAGACAAAGGAGGGTTGCTTTTATTTATTTTTTTGTTATATTTGCAGCTTATTCATTGAATGCTGCACTTCCCGTACCATTATCCTTTTAGGGCTAATCTCAAATCTGTAAAAGGAGTGGTTCATGCTCAAAATGGAGCATAGATGCTCAGTTCTGAGACTCTGTGATGGAAATCATGCATCCTGCTTCATCACTGACATTGTCTTGCAGAAAGATTATGGATAATTTTCATTAGCATTGATCAAATATGAAAATAAAATCTCTACATGACGTCGGCATGATCAAATGAAGGTAAACTGGGAGCCACTCTGTTTGTTTGCCGTACGAAGGCTGGATATTATCTATTAAATATTCTGATCCCTTCAGTTTAACAGAGCTGTTTCTTCCGTTAAACAGCCAGGCTGAAAATGAGGCTGTGAAGTGAGAAAGAACTTACACTTCTATCACTCGCTCTTCATCTCTTATTGAGGCCCGTGGCTCCATGATGCATTGGCTCTCACCAGTAGCCTATAGCACACCCACGTCTCTGACTGAAGTGTCAGCTGTGTGGAGGACAGCCTAGACATCGGGTTTTGACAGAGAAGAGGAATGCATGCAAAAAAAGGGTTGTGTCTCTGGTTTTGCTGCTTTTTTAAAGAAATCATTTTTGTGCATCAAATGTATAAAAATGTTGTAGACGTGCAAAGCGGTGAAGTATTCTTTCTTTTTTCAGTCTGTTGTGATGGATTGTGTTTTTTCCCCCCAACCAGGTAGTATTTTAGCAGACACTTCCTTTAAGGATAGAATGAAATTAGATGAAATAGATACCAGTGAACAAACAGTAAACTCCAAGTGTGAAGGGAAAAAAGAAGAAGGTTTGTTGGGAAAGATCTAATAATTTTCTTTCACTTTAGACATGTGATGACCACACCTGATGCTATTCCCCTTCTTTGACTTTGTCCATGAGATCAGGCTTTAGTCACTCACTGAATAGAGCAGGGAACAGTGAGGTGAGCCACATAATCTATGGCTCTCATGGCACTGGGTTATGTCCCTGCAGACCCACACAGATAAGGCCATTATCGTCCACGGCTTGTAGCATCAGGTTAGATCATCAGTATGCACCACATGCCATGGCATCACTGCTTCTCTGGCAGCAAGCAGCTCTGCTGTCTGAGTGGAGGCTGTCTGATGTTATAGCACTGAAAGGAGGAGGGGGCACTACTTTTAGGCTATTTAACTCAGAAGGCTGGCAGCTGTGCTGCTGAGACCCTAATTACACAGCTCGAGACAGGAAAATGTGTCCATACGGACACTGGAGAAATGGGTAAGGCGAGGGAGACATGCGTCAAAAGCCAGGGTACTTAAAGCTCCTTTTGACATTCGATTTCAAAAAGATTTCAGGTTTTCTGTCAGCTCTTAAGCTGGTTGTTTTTGCTGTTCCCATTGTGCCTGGAGAACTGCAAAGGTTAGAGAAGTTCATCATTAAAACTGGAGTCATCTTCATTTGCAAGCCACACCAAAGCAACCGTTTGTTAAAACCGCTGCATGGGAGTAATGACTGTGGTTCATCTGTTGGTGCTAGTGAGGGCATCATCATCTTAGATTACTGCTTTAATATGCACACTCCAAACCCCCTGCAGGTCTCAGAGACTCTGAGAGCCTGGATATGTCTGAACTATAGTGTTTTTTTAAAACTAAGCTAAATTTCTTTTTTCTTTCCCGCTTATGAGTAATATTTTTTTCAGTTTTTGGTATTTTTTAATTTTGTGCTTAATCTTTTGGAACATTTTGTTTTCATATCTTTTGCATTTAAAGGTTTTCTTTTCTTGAATTAGCCTTTTATTGTTCATCTTTCTTTTAAGCATTTTAACGCATTACACAGAGCAGTTGAAACTGTCTTTGTGCTAAACAAATAAACTTGGTTTCCTTTGTCTCGCGCCCGAACCCTAGCCCCCTCTAACTGCAGTTCAAGCTTCATTCTGTATGCCAACTTCACTTAAGAAGTCACTTCTAACAGCAAGTGCATCTCTAATTTACAATAAGACTCCCTTTGCTGGGTGGTGGGGATGCCATGGCCAATACCTCTGCACTGTGACTGACAGGACTCTTAGTTCTGCTTAAAAGTGGTATTTATCGTCTGGGACTTTAAGTGGTGGAGTGAAAATAGGCTTTCTACCTGCATAACCGTCTGTTGAAGCTCTTCTAAAATCAGTGAACTGAGTCCGTTCCAACATGAGACACAAAACTGCCTGTTTCACTGTTACACTGTCGGGAGGCTGAAAAGTTTTTTTTTAACAAGTAGTTTAAAAATGACCAAGCGGATGGGTCGTAGCACTTTACATTCCAACACAGGATATAAGAGTTCATTTCATGCTTTTGTCTGTTGTAAAGCCTGAGGGTGGTAACACATACATTCAACAAGAGGAGCGCAGACCTCCACAAAGCCAGCTATAGGGGAACAATGTTACATTGTTATATTTCATAAATATTCTTTTTGTTTTGTGTAGTGCATTAAACTAAATGGAAAGTGTCCTGTTGAAACTACTTGACATAGTTATTTTTATTTTTGACGATACAGTAAATGTGAACATGCATTCCAAGTGAATTACTACTAAATAAAGTAAGTTATTTGTCAATAACTGGACATGAATAACTTGAGCTGATTATATTTTATATCGCAGTGTATTTCTAATGAACTAAGCAGCTCATCCTCTGTCTCTTAACACTTTCTTTAAAGATATAATGTATTTGGGGTCAGTTTGAAAGAAAGGCAGATGTGACACGTAAACGTGAGGTCAGAGGTCAAATGTGACATGATATTTGGATGCAAACTATAATGCGATATTTAGTGTCATTTCCTAAATATTGCCAATACAAATAAAGGCAGCAGAAATGTAAGCGTAGTTTTAAAGATGAAGACATTTTATGAAAGTTTGACCTTATTTGACTTTGAAGAGGTCAGAGGTCGAAAGTAACATGATAGCTAGAATCCCAATGTGTTATTCCTTATATGCCTATATGTTGTCAGTACAAATAATGTCAGGAAGAAACATATAAAGCTATATATAACTATATAGCATTATTATCACTTTGACCTTCAGCTCAATCTATTGAGGTCAGAGGTCAAATGTGGCATATTTAATACTTTTTAGGCTACTTTTAAAAGGTTTTTTTTTTTTTTTTAACCAATAAATCTTTAAGTTGACCTTGAAGACTTGGTGGATGTAAGCCAGTTTTTAATGGGCTGTTAATATCACCCTACTCTGCACTCCTACAAAGTTTTATCAGAATTTAATCAAAACTTTGTTTACAGACAAACTGACACGTGAACGCTGTGAAAAACACAACCTCGTTGGCAAAGGTAATAAAGTGCAGTACTCCCGCTCTAAACACTTTGAACGAGCTGTTTATCAGATCAGGAGCATTCAGTTTTATTTTTCCATCGTTACTCTTTTTTTTCCACACAGTTCTTGTACTTCTCGTTCTCATCGTCTTTCCGTATCATTTCAGGGCCACATTAAAAAAATGAATAAATAAAAGATTAAATGAATAAGTGAAAGAGTTCAATTTGAATCCAAAGGAAGAAACGCTCACATTAGACCTTATAACATTTGGCCTAAAACCATGAGTGTTAACTTTGAAGTAATGCTTATAAGAATAACTGGTGAAATTAATCACATGATTATAAATAACTCAGCTTTTTTTTGTTGTTGTCAGGTTATAAAGCCCTCCTGAAGTGTCTGTCAGGAAGATTTAACAGCAGAGAGCTGATTGGTATCATGGGGCCTTCTGGAGCCGGAAAGTCCACACTGATGAATATTTTGGCGGGGTACAGGTGAGCCCTGCACTTGGAGTTATTGCAGATGTGGAAATGGAAGATTGAATGATATGCACATGAAGAGGTCTCTCTCATGCTCAGAAGCTGGTACTGTGTTTAAAAACAGGGAGACCGGCATGAAAGGTACAATCCTGGTGAACGGCCGACCGAGGGATTTGAGGACTTTCAGGAAAATGTCCTGCTACATCATGCAAGATGATATGCTGCTGCCACACCTCACTGCGAGGGAGGCCATGATGGTGAGGTCATTAAAAAAGTAAAATCTTAACTTCTCATTGAATCCTAGTTCAGCAATGACAGCTGAGTTCTGTCTGTCTTTCAGGTTTCCGCCAATCTGAAACTGAATGAGAGCATGCAGGTCAAAAAGGAGCTTGTAAGTCTGAACTTACTGATGGTATTTCTGCATTACGTGCAGAAGCGGTTGCTGATGTTAGGGGTGTGGAAATGAATAGAAATGTGTCTAGCTGCAGAGAGTTTTGCTTGCCATTAATACAAATGTTTCTGAGGTAATTTGGGGTAAAACTGCAAAAAAAATGAGGAGTCTTACTTTTTGATCATTTTAATTTTGGGGGACTTTTAAGTCACCACTTTAACCTGAAACAGTTGTCTAATAAGAATTTATATTATGCTATTTAGAGAAGCAGGGCACAGACAAGACAGAGGAGGTCAACCTAATAGTTGCCTGATATAATGGAAATCAATGACCTATAGCAGGGGTGCCAAAGGTAAGGTCCAGGGACCAGAATCGTCCAAACAAAAACTCCTGTCCGGCCCCCTGGACTGCTTTGGAAATGTTAAGGAAGGCATAAATTTTGGACTTTTAATTGTATTTCATAAGTTTGACAGCTTTTCTTACAAATAATGACTTCCCACCCTTGTTCAAATTACAAATAATTAAGTAATTAAGTAATAGATAAACAGTTACCTACTATAGAATTTTTATTTTCAGTAAAATATTTTTAAAAAGAAATTTTCTGCTTCTTCTGTACAGTGACAGAAAGGTGGGTTTAACTGGTCTGGCCAAAGTAACATTAAAGTGGGCTGTGGCCCGTGATGCAAAATAGGTTTGACATCCCTGCCTTATATTATCACAGCTAACCCAAGCCACATTATCACATTGGAGCCAGAATACTTATCTGATCCACATCAAACAACACTGAAGGCAGCAAAACACTGTATGCTGATGTGCAGCTGCAGTTGATGACCACTGTCTTGTCTGCAGTGAAATCCTTCTGCTGCACATCACAGCATACATCCATATTTGGCTTTGAAGTTAAATCTCTTTCATATTGCACACCTCTATTTTTAGCTTTGAGTAAGCGCGCCGTGGCGTTCCAACACTTCTCTTTGTTTGGGTTGAAGGTGGACGAGATCCTGACCGCTCTGGGCCTTCAGGAGTGTGCTCAGACACGTACCATCTCTCTCTCTGGGGGCCAGTGTAAAAGACTGGCCATTGCCCTGGAACTGGTTAACAATCCACCTGTCATGTTCTTTGATGAGCCCACCAGGTAGGACAACACTCATCTGGATTAACTCTGTGTGATTTCAGCTGAAATGCAGTCTAAATAGTGCATCTTTCTTTGCGTGTCCCATCCAAGTGGTCTGGACAGCGCGTCCTGCTTCCAGGTCGTTTCCCTCATGAAGTCCTTGGCTCAGGGAGGACGGACAATCATCTGTACCATTCATCAGCCCAGTGCCAAGCTCTTTGAGATGTTTGATAAGGTAACTTGAGTGCTCTTTCTCCTGGGCATGCCTCACCACCCATTAGCTGCAGCTCAGACCTAGACACTACATGCTTGCAGGGTTTGTTTCATGCAGCTGAAGCTGTGTGGCAGTCGATACCCGGCCCTGTTGTTTTGTCAGTTGTCGATGCATTATTCACGGAGCCATTGTGTTCAAAACTATGTTGATTACTCTGTACATGTGTTCTTATTCACCAGCTGTACATCCTCAGTCAGGGTCAGTGCATATACAAGGGCACAGTCCCTTACCTCATCCCTTATCTGAAGAACCTGGGTCTCCACTGCCCGACATATCATAATCCAGCTGATTTCAGTGAGTTGATTACAAGTGTATATCCATGCATAACTTTTTATATGTTATGCATCGTTCTCATTAGCTTGTCCTCTCTATTCCCAGTCATTGAGGTGGCATCGGGGGAGTACGGAGACCTGAACCCAGTGCTGTTTGACGCAGTCCAGGGCGGACTGTGCTCAGAGGAGGGCAAGAAGAACTCGAGGGACAAAACTGACTCCTCTTGTCCCTCACAGTGTCACAGTGTAAGTGATATCAGCGCTTTAACACATCACACACACCCTGTGTGTCTGGTATTTAACATTATTAAACCCCTGAAAGTACCAGACTTTACTCATTTTAAAGAATTGTTCATTTATTAGGAAAATTTATCAAATCTTGCTTTTTGTTGTCTCTGGTTTTCCTGGAATTAACCACGTTCGTTATTGTTGTCTACTTCTATTAACAATTAGATGCAGGCAACATATTTCTAAACTACAAAGCCACCATATAATAGAAATGATAAACGATACCTTTATAAAAAGTAGTAGTGCTGTACTTACTGGGGTTGTATTTCACCACAGATACTCAAATTGCTCACAGCTGAATGGGAACCTTAAAAATGCTGCTATGACAGCCAATAAAAAATATAATCAGTAGCTAAAAATTGAGGCAACAAAATAAATAAAAAATAGACCTTTCCTATTTCCTATTCACAGTAATACCTTTTAAATGGTACAATTTTTTCATCCCTACTCCACTGATCCGTCTCATTAGTCTCTATAAGCTGTCTTCTCACTATGTCTTTCTCAGCCCTATAATATAATAACTTAATAAGAGCATCAGCAAAAATGCTAGAACCGTGACTGTAAACCACCCACAGCTGTCTGCTTTACGGTTACTCCTGTTTAATGCATACTGCAGTTTTGCCCTGCTGCTTCCTTTAAGCGCAGTGAGGTCATTGATTTTCTCTGTTATTCTTTGTTATGCACTTATTACCCTTCTGATTCTGATTGAGCCAGAAGACAAACACCACTTTTGTATCTGTCCTTTAAATAAAACTACAGCTAGTGTGGATTTAGCTTAGATCTGCACAGGAAGTGGAGTTTTGAGTTTGAACCTGGTCCGTGTGGAGTTTGCGACCACTCCTCACGCTTCGAGCTTACTTTGGTTTCTTCATGAAAGCACACTGGGTTAATTCTGCTGTCACTGTGCCCTTGACCAAAGCAGTGGCCTACATGAAGAGCTGGCCCCTGGGTGCTGCTGCATCCTGATACTGCTCCTCCTAGTAATAATAATTAGAGAGAACATGTTTCCCTGTGGAGTTGAATAGAGATATCCTTATCGTCATAGTTTTCAATTTCATTTTTGTAAAACAAAACAAGTTATAGACAGTAAGTAAGCTGCAAGTGTCTCTGCCACTAGACAGAAACACTCTTGTTTAAAATACACCAAGAAATAATGCTACATGTTATCATTTTAACTGATATGAGTACTCTATTATTTCTAATTTTGCACAGGACACAGGAACACTTGAGAAGCATAGCTTCGCCACCAGTACATTCACACAGTTTTGCATCCTCTTCAAAAGAACCTTCATTACAATATGCAGAGATACGGTATAGTATTTACTCTATAAATATCTCCAGATTTTATCAATTAAAATTCACTTAAACTTTGTTTTTATTCTTGTCATGAGTTACAGACTTTTGAGTTTTATTTCTTTTTTTTCTCAAGGTGCTGACCCACCTTAGGGTGATGTCCCATCTGTCCATTGGAGTACTCATTGGCCTGCTCTATCTCAAAATTGGAAATGATGCCAGCAAGGTTTTCAACAACACTGGCTTCCTCTTCTTCTCTATGCTTTTCCTCATGTTTGCTGCCCTGATGCCCACAGTGCTAACCTGTAAGACTTGTCTTCTATGCAGAGAGTGGAAGTTGTTTGTCTGTTACAAGTGGAAAGTCTTTAAATGCCGCTGTTGTTCCACAGTTCCTCTAGAGATGTCTGTGTTTGTGAGAGAACATCTTAACTACTGGTACAGCCTGAAGGCCTATTACTTGGCCAAAACCATGGCTGACATACCGTTCCAGGTAGTGTTTTGCTTTTTGAACACTTCGTATTTTGTGCATGCGTGGAGTACAGTTTAAACTAATTGCATTAAAAATGTGCTTCACAGGTGATTTGTCCAATTATGTACTGTAGTATAGTGTACTGGATGACAGAACAACCTGCAGAGGTGGGTCGCTACCTGCTCTTTATGGCCTTGTCTACATCCACAGCGCTGGTGGCGCAGTCACTGGGTCTGCTTATAGGAGCTGCATCAACATCTCTGCAGGTAAGTAATGGAGTGTTCTCTCCCAACAACGTACAAGAAAAAATAAATGCACCCATGTGGTTTTATAATGATAGAGGCAAAGTTAAGCTACTTCATAATAAGTAGCTTGGTGCACCCCAAAAAGTACATAAGCAAAAGTACACAAGTACATGTACTATTTAAGATGGGGAAATATTGCTTCTTTTTTTTTTTTTGCAAAATTACCAAGAAATTACACAATATTTAAAGTTGCTTACAGTGTAAGTTGTGTCTTCTTTTCTGTAAAATAACCCAAACTTATGCACAACTTAAAATTACTTAAAATGTAATTATTTGTTCTTTCCTGTATGGTACCTGAAGTTATGCAGTGCTTAAACCTACTGATACACAATCTAAAATTACTTACACATTACTTAAAATTACTTAAAATGTAATTATTTCTTTGTTTCCTGTAAAAACCGGAGTTGTTACCTCCTTATTCTAGTGTCCCTGCCTAAGTATTTGTAGGTAAATATAATACATTGAAATTTCAAATAAAATACAATGAAATTTCATTTAATTACAGGGGAATTATACCCTTAGTTATGGGCTATATTATAAATGCTTGAATATGTAAAAATGGGCCTGTAGTGCACTGACTGAATTTCAGTAAAGAAAAAGATGTTTGTGTGTCAGATTTTGCTTTTTTCGCTGCTGGACTGTCTCTACTGTTTGAAATAAATCGAACGGGCTCACACAGCAGAGTTGTTACTACAGTGGGTGGTTTTAGTCATACATTTACTCTGAACAATGCTGCGAACATCTTGGCATTAAATGGCACTTTTTCACATGTAGCACACAACAAGAGATTGTGTGTGTCAGATGAGGTGTTGTAATCATTTATTGTTTAACGTAGGTGGAGGTGGTCACCCTTTATCAAAAAAGTATCCCTGCAATCCAAAATTTTTATTAACGAAATTTTCTGTGTTTTTGGTAAACTGGCTTTGTTTATTCTGGCAAGTCTGCATTTAGGAATGATAGCTTTGTTTAAAAGTGGAAGGTGTGAGGGTTGGGTTTTTAGAATAGAATAGAATAGAATAGAATAGAATAGAATAGCCCTTTATTGTTATTGTACATGTACAATGAAATTGTAGGTGCTCCTCTCCACTCACTAAATAGTAGACAGTAGGAATAAACTGCAAACAGGAGAAAACAGAAAGTCAAGATAGATATATACAAGATAAGATAAAAGGCATACAATGGAGAACAAAATAGTTGCAAAGTGCTCAGAGGTAGTGCAAAGTAAAGAAGCTGTTAATGAGTCTGGAGGTGTAGGACCTAATCGACCTGAGGTGCCAACCAGAGGGCAGCGGGTCAAACAGGTGGTGGGCGGGGTGCAAGGGGTCACCTGTGATGGCTCTGGTTCCTGAGACAGGAGGATCTGGCAATGGTCTCCAGGAGTGGCAAAGTGCAGCCAATGATTTTTTGGGCAGTGTTAATTACCCTCTGCACAGCCTTTCTATTCTCAGTTGTGGCTCCTAAGGACCAAACACCCAGGCACTATGAGAGCACGCTCTCCACTGAGGAGCGGTAAAAGGCCAGCAGCAGCTTCTGGTCCACGTTATTCTTCCTCAGAATTTCCCAGGGGAGGGGTGGTTTCAAGCTGAGCAAAGAAGGTGTTGTGCTCCCCTGTGAGTTTGAGGCTGCTGTCGGGGGTTGTGGGGCTCTGTCCTTTGTAGTTACTGAAAGTTTGGATACCTCTCCACAACTGCTGGGTGTTGGTGGTGGTGAAGAAGCCCTCTATCCACCTCCTGCAGGCCTCCTTGGCCCATTTAATGCCATTCCTCAGGTTGGCGCTGGCAGTGCAGAACAGGGAAATGTCCCTCAGCCTGAAGGCTGAGTTATGAGTCATGAACAGAGCCTGTACTTCACTCGTTATCTAAGGTTTTCAGTTAGGAAAAACCTGGATGTCACATTCTCTACACAGCATTTAATGTAGAAAAGGACAGACTGAGTGGAGGTTTCCAGGTCCTTCTGTTCAAAGATTGACCAGTCTTTCAGATCAAAACAGAGCATCATCTGGCCATGTTTTAATGACATGGGTGCTTCGAGGGGTTTATTTCCTGAGGGGAATGCAGGCAGGGATGAGGAGCAGATAGAGGTGGTCAGATTGTCCTAGGTGGGGGAGGGGTGTTGCTCTGTAGGCACGCTTGATGTTACTGTGACCTTCTGTGAAGGCTTCTGTTGTTGGTGAGGCAAAGTTACACTGGATGCATTGTTAATACATTTCTGCAGATAGTTGGTTAATAAACCACACTGTTTCAGTTTTTATTTTGACATTTGTTCAATAAAAAACATAACATGTATGCAACATGTAAATAAAGAGAATGGTAAAAGGACTGGATCTTATATAACACTTATCTACTCTGCCTGAGACACTCAGTGCTTTATACAACTCACCTAATTCACTTTTTAAAAATGCTTTTTCTACATAAGTGCTTTCTGTCAAACATTCACAGTCCAATGGATGCATCAGAGAGCAACTTGTGATTAGTATCTTGCCGAACAGCCATCCCAGAATGGTGGATACTGTGTGTATTTATATAAAGGTTTCTTGACAGAGTTTGATAAGGTGTCTAGCTGATGTTTTAAAGTTATGCAATTACTTGGTTATTATATTTTTTAAATAACTTGTTATCCAGCACTGACGTGGATGCTGACAAGTATCCCACACTTCGCAGTGGCATAGTGTCTTCTTACCACTTGTAATTTGCCACAATGAATGATAAGGTCCTCAAAAATCTGTAATGCAATGCAATGGGGAAAAAAGCAGCACTTATAATGACAGTTCCACAATGTAACAGAACAAATTTTATATTGCAGAAAGTTGATTCAGTTCATCCGGACGTTGTGTTATCTTCAGTCTCAGCTGACTGCAGATCTCCCAGCCTTATAAACAAGGCAGCTGCACAACAATCACAACGAGCAGCATCGCCTAACAATGAGCCATGAGCTCAGTTTGTGGTCATTAATATGCACATTACATTCAGAGAGCGTTGTGGCATGGTGGTTTGCAGCAACAAGGTCCTGGGTTTGAATCTCCTTTCTGTGTGGTCTTTGTATGTTCTCCCCAAGTCTGCACGGCTTCTCTCCGGGTACTCCAGCTTCCTCCCACAGTCCAAAGACATGTAGTTGGTGAGGTTAGGTTAACTTGCAATTTTAAATTGACTATAGGTTTAAATGTGAGTGTGAATGATCTGTGTGTCAGCCTTGCAACAGACTGGTAGCTTCTTCAGGGTGTGGCCCACCTCTTGGCTTCAGACGCTCCCTTCTTCTCAAGAAAAAAGGAAAAAGAACATGGATGGATAATATGCATATTAAAATGACAGTTAATCAGCAATGTGAAGATACTCTTAGGTACCCTCCTTGATCTAGACATGGTTGCTCTCCTTTTATACATATGGCCGTTTGCTCAAACCAGCTCTCCTCCATGTCTAGGCTGATCCTCATCCTCATCACTGAAAGAGTGCCCCCTACTCCGTAGGTATACGGTAACTAAACTGCAACATCCCACCTTTGATGTGGCTTCCCAGCGGTTCCCCAAGTCTCTGTAAACAGCACATATGGCCACTGAGCAAGGGTTATGATAATTTGCATATTAACAATCATGAAGCTGATCTTGTGTTAGGTAGTGGTGCTGGTTCTGATTGTTGTGCAGCTGTACTGTTAATATGGAGAATGTGCAGTCAGCTGAGATGGAAGAAATCACTTAGATGAGTTATAAATGTTCTTCTAACTGAAAAATGCTGTCTCCAGATGAACTGAATCAAGGTTCCTTAGCTGCATCATCAAGGATGCACCAAGCGTGCATTTTATAGAAAAAGTGACCAGTGTGAGCAAACAGCGGATAATGATAATGATCTAAAATGCTATACTACAATACTTTCTTTTGTCTGCTTACAAGGTAAGAAATTAACTTTTTCATATGATTTTTGCTGCTAATTCATTCCACAGGTGGCAACATTTGTGGGCCCAGTCACAGCCATACCTGTCCTCCTTTTCTCTGGCTTCTTTGTCAATTTTGACACCATTCCCAAATACCTACAGTGGAGTTCTTATGTTTCCTATGTCAGGTATGTCAGCTACCAATGAATTTCTAAGGCTGTTGAATAGAAAATCAAGCTTTTTCTAAACTCATTTTAGTAATTGGTTTCTGTGGTTTGACTGTCTACACTGACTCTCTTTAATCACCCACTTTTAGGTATGGCTTTGAGGGGGTGATACTCTCTATTTATGGGATGAACCGGTCTGAGCTTGAATGTCCAGACCCTGTGTGTAAGTTTCAAAAGCCAGAGGAGGTCTTGCAGCTGTTGGATGTGGAGGACGCAAAGCTTTACGTGGACTTCATGGTGCTGGGGGTTTTCTTCCTGATCCTCAGACTCGCCACTTACCTGGTTCTGCGCTACAAAGTCAAGTCAGAGCGTTAAGACGTCCAGAGGCACAGTGCTGATGGATATGGATGCTCATGAATATCCCAGAAGTGTGAGATAGTAAGAAAACCTATCCTCTCTCTTTTTCAGTTTCAACATTTCAAAATCAATCGAGTATGTGCTGCACCATTACTCAAACTGTACAGTATGGTACAGATTGAAAAGGTTTACTGATAAGAAAATGAAAAGTTTCAACTGTGAATTGTTGTTCCCTGCACACTGTTACTGTATGCCAGGTAATGGTCACCATCACCTTTCATAAATACAATAAAATATTGCTCAGTGGCACCATGAGTGGACAGAACACCCCCCAAAAAAGCAGATCGCATGTTTCATTAAGCTGAGAATTTTGAAAATGTACTTTTTTTGGTGACTCCAGGAAAGTGTTTGTAACTTGGAGCTTCTTAATCCAGTGCCTAAAAGGTATTTCAAGGCCCACAACAGAATCTGCTTAATTGACACAAAGAACAGCAGCCATCAAGATGACCCTGAAACGTGATTTCAAGTCAGATCCTCTGTTATTGCCAACAGAAAAGTGGAAGCCTTTTTTGGGGCTCATCTCTCTCTCCTGTAGGATAATCTTGTCAGGTGTCCTTACCAAAATGCACGACGTGGCGACTTGTCTTCATGGAACAGAAATCGACTGCCAGTGGATGACTCTCCTCGCTGGAGACCATTTTCGCAGGCCTTTTGCCCCAGCGCTCACAGTGATGGGACACTTTGCCTCGGATGAAGAGCTTGTGAATATGTTAAGCAATGTGTCTTATACAAAGACTGACATGGATTCGCCCCGCATCCGGCCCTAACGACTCCTTACTTGCTCCTGCACGTGTTTGCTTCTGCCACAACTCGGGAAGCATTGAGTGAATTGGGAGCGACACGTGAAAGCGAGTAAGCTGTTTGCAGCCTGATGCAGTGGGCCGTCTTCATCGCAGACAGAATAGCATTTTAGGTGAAGTGCAATAGAATATATTATGGCTAAAAAAATAGCAAAAAAAAAGGAGAAGAAGAAGAAGAAAAAGTGTTGTTTGTCTAATCAGTGTCGCTCTTTTGACACAGTTCTTTGAAATGCTTGTTTCCACTCGTATGACTCTTTAGCTGCCTCCTCCCTGAGCTGAAAAAGGAAGTCCCCTCCTCCTTTCCTCCTCTTTCTCTCTGCTTTGCTGATGTCTGACAGATGCGTGTTGTTCAAAACAATGTTAGATACTTGAAATGCTGGCTGGGCGGTTTTTGTGCCTCTGAACTAGAATGATTTGAGTTTTCTCTGCTTCCTTGTTTGCACATACACTACACCTTATATCTACATGCTGGCTCTCTATTTCTCTCTCTTACACACACACACACACACGCAGAGGTACATTACAGACATACACACACACATCACCATGGCAATGTTTAGAAGAGCCTCTCCTAGTCACACGGCAATGCAAATATTTTCCAATAGACTTGCTATGAAATATTTCTTACTCCAACTATGCTACTTAGTAATCCTTATTATAATACTTCAAATAATGTGAGTATATAACCAATGATTGTACAGTGAGTATGTCATGCTGTAAACAAATGTACATTTGCACTTTTCAGTGTATCTTTATTGTTTTTTCTTATTTATTTGTATTTAGTTTTATTTTTTTAAACCTACAAGACGAGTGCTGCTTGAAAGTGCAATGGGGGAAAGAAAACGGCACATGGATGTTGCATGATCATCTTAGGAGTGAAATTTATGAGATATTAAATTTTAGAGTATGGGACAGTGGTTTTATTTCCTCATCCAAACATATCTGTCCCGCCACGTTTGAGGAGATGCGAATCCTCCGCTCTGCACTGAGCATTTCTTTTAGAACATCTGGAGCCACGTGTGCGTCACTAGTGCGGATTAAAGATGACACGATCAGGAGTGAAAAGAGGCGAATGTACGAGACGTCCTGGATGGAAGAAGGCAGGGATACAGAACAGAGAGCCAAATATGTCATTATGTAGCTAAAGAGGTTCGCAGTCTCTTTGGGAAGCAGCTGGATTGGAGAGCAGATCACTAATCACTAATCTGCTTCGCTGTTCAGCACAGAGATGGCTGTGATTAATAGCAATAGTTCACATCGTGATGTTTATGAAACCTCCTGCAGTTTATAAGGTTTATGTTCTTCTTACCGGTTCTATTATGTGCAATAACCACACAAAGGCAACTCTGTGAGACCAATTACATGAAATGTGACGCTGAAATTTTTTCGTTGTAGTGCGTTCGTTGCTTGTGTTCAGTGACAAAAGCTAATGTAGGGAAATGGATTGTCAGAAAGATTGTCACCTCAAAGACCAAAGCGGGATCATAACATTTATTCTAATATCAGGATAATTATAGAAAAAATGCATGGAATGAAATAAAAGGTGTTTAAACTCAATTTTCCTACAAAAACAGATGATATGTGTTTTAAGTTTCTCTAAATTGGAAGCAGAAACTTAACTGCAACTCCAACGCCAACCAATAAACAGTCATCAAGTAACTGGACAGTCTGGGGGAGTTTGGGGCTTAGATGTTAAGGCCCGTGGTACCAAAGACGAAAACAAGTCTCCCTTCTTCTCCCCCATAATGTGCATGCAGTGTCCAATATTACCATTAATTTTCTGACCAAAATAAGTGCTCTGAGGACACATTAACAAAGTCTGTAGTACAGTCAGTTTGTCTGGTAGAATCCCTGATTAGCTGATTATAAATGAGGTGTGGGAAGATGTGAGATGTGTGTAAGCGTTATGAAGTAGCTATGGAAGTGAAATTGCAGGATGCAATATCACTTGAACGCATGGTGACGTCACACTGTTTGCGCAGTCTCTTTATCACTTTGCAAAATCATTTCACAGCTTCATCCGTTTGCTCATAAGAAGCCACCGGGCTTATTGTGCACTCGCATGGTAAAGAGTAATATGCAGGCTATCCCTACAGAAAGCTTGGACTCTTATTAAAAATGTGTGATGGGATTAGAGGTAGTTGTTTTATCTAATTTTCCGCTTAGAGTTTAATTTCTGATTTTAAAAAAAATGCAAGTTCTGTATACTGAACGCTGTTCCGAGGATTATATTAAAGATCATTTATAACCTTTACCCTTTCTTTGTGAGATGATTTGATCGGACACTGATCGCTGATACTTTTTCCATAACCATATTTATACACTGAAGAGTAGCAAACACTTAATTATTTGTGATTCTTTCCAGTGCTCAGGAGTACACTCATCGTGAGCATTTTCACAAGACTCGTTTAGCTTTAAATTTACATTAGAGGCATTTAGGTAACCCAGTAGTAGCTCGGCTGCTGTTTCGTGCCATGTATTGATGCGAAAACCTCTTGAAACAGCTTTTTCAAATACGGGTGTGCTTTAAAACATAAATCATAAAGCTGAGGGGCGTGCAGGAAACATCAGGAAGAACCAGAAAATGATTTCCACATTTTATTGCACATTTTATAGCTCCGAAGCTCCCCAGTCCTGTTGACTTGGAGGGCAGTAATTGCAGAGAGGCACAATGTAGCAGGATGAGAGGGGCTGAAGTGTTTCCACGGATGTACATAATGGGTTTATCCAGAGTGGTGAAGCAGTTCAGTCATAAATTACGTTCCTCATCTCAGCAGAAGGTGACAAAAGAAAAGCAGCTTCAACGTAAACGCTCTTTTTCTACATTCACTGGGAAAATATTTAGTTGGGTCTGAATAGGAAGCTAGATTTCAAACTTAATCTACTCTCATTTTTTAAAATAGAGAGAAAATACATGAAAAAGCATGAAGAGAGAGGATATTCCTTCACTTTCTTTTGCTTATCCAATTCAGACTTGTAGTGGGGCTGGATTCTGTCCCAGCTTTGATGGGGTGAGAGGGAGGTTACACTGAAAACATAAAGAGTGTTTTTAACTGTCCAAGTTCTTTGAGAGTTTTGCACAGCCTCAGAACGGACTTTAATAACTTGAAGATGATAAGGCTCTGCACTAGCACCTTGAGACAAATCAGCACGCTCGCTGGCCAATAAGGCAGCATTATAGCTAGTAAAGGAGCTGCCTGCCTGCCACTTTGCTCACCTAAAATCTAGAAAACTGAAAAAGCAAGGCAAGTTAGACTTCACGATTGTACTCAGAATAATGGGGTCATTGAAGGTAACTGCTAGTGTGAAATTCTAATGTGTTTCACTGTTGGATAAACTGGTCAGAGATGAAACTCATTAGGTAGGCTTGGCGATCCCAGCAGGCCCGATATCCCATGAACTCTTACCTGCATTGAAATATAAATAAAACACATAAAAGTGGTAGAGGCACAGCATTAATATTCTTCAACTCCCACTTAAGCTTTATTTAATGAACTACACGGCCTTGAAAGATAAAGACAGAGAATGATAACACGGCTCTCTGCTGTTACAGCTCTGTAAAGTGCAGCTGGTGTTTCAATGCTTGGAGGGCTCTCTGAGTATTCCCTATCACCACACAGTGAAGATGATGTTCAAAAACACCTCATAATAAACTCTTACACAGCCAGCTGCAGATCTGTAGGCCCTGATCAAGGATGCAGTCAATTGTAGCATTTAATGACAGTGAAATGCAAATGTGGCTCAAGAGGTTCATTAGAAAAGAATGGTGGAGGTTGCAATAACTTCACTGGACAGATGCTTCTCAGGTTGCTAATGTGGACCTCAACAGAGCTGACCCCATAACTAAGCATGTGATGCAAGGTTACTTTATGATGATGGTAAAACATCTAATTAAAGGGACAAGATATTAGTAATCAAAACAAAGGGGTCACTTCTTCTCAAACAAAGTAATGCTATATAATCAAATCATACCTGGTTAATGAATTTAAAACAGTGCAAAAAGCAATTGAATAAACTAAGTAAAAATAACAATTAAATGAAATAATTCAAGGTAGTTGAACACGTTATTGTTTTCAGCTCAGTTTAGTTTCAGTTAGTTTCCACAGTGTCATTGCTACTGTTTTAATCTTTTAATTAGTACCTGTGTGATTATTTAAGCTCAGTACAATGTTCTGATACAGACATGTGGCTTTCAGTCATAATGATAGCCCCTTATCAGTAGACATACTGGTTAATGCCAGTTATGTTGACAAATGTAACCAAATTGACAAAAACTAACTATTAAAAAAATATTATGTTATTTTGGTTAGCTTTTTGGTAGATGTTATGATCCTATAGTAGCTTTCTTTTTCCACTAATAAATAAATAAATAGCAGTCCATTAGTCCAAATTATAGGTTATCGTCTCAAAACTTTGACTCACAAACTTCTGAGAAAATAACTCAAAACTGAGGGGGGGACTTCCCGTTATTAAGTCGAAATTTTGAGATAAATAAACTTTTGACTAGCTTTGACTAGTTTTTTTTAGAGGTGGAAACAATCCTCCATTGGTTTCAGTTACTTAACAAAAAATAAAGTTTAAAAAAAATGTATTTTACCTTTCGTTTTCACACTTTTATGCCAAGTGAATCGTTTCAGAAACACCCCCTCGCTTAGCTTCCGGGTTGGTTTTCCGCGGCTCCTTCAGGAAGTTTCATCTTGCCGTATATTTCATCTTTGCTGTGGACCGGCATTTTCCCACAACACCCCGCTCCTCCTCGCACAGATGACGAAAATGGCGGACAACTCATCTTCGGTAGGCTTAAGAAAGATATAATGTTAATATAGGCACATTGACCGGTTTCAGAGTATAAATAAATGTGTTGTTATTTACAGGTCGAGATTGTGGAGGGCTGTCGCCTCCCGGTTCTTCGTAAAAACCAAGAACACGAAGACGAATGGCGTAAGTATTGTCCGTTTTTTTTTTATATGCTAAGCTAATGCTAAGGAGCTCAGCTCAGCTGTTGTTACCAGAAGCCCCGGCCTCCAGTTAAAGCGCTGTAAACACCATGGCCACGGATGGTGCATGCTGCTGTAAAGTGTGTATGAATTCAATTGGAAGACTTAAGAAAACTGCTGCCACTCCCTCGGAAATTAAATTGCCAGTTCTTAATTTTACTTAGTTTCACATTTTATAGAAAAAAAGTACTAAATGCAGGTGGCATCAGTGATGTTTACAAATTTGAGAGCGAATTTATCAGGTTTTCTCTCTTACTCTCTTGGCACTCAGTTTGGTCCATAGTAATCTTTTTTAACACATTCCTTTTTAACAACAACAACAAAAAAAAAATTAAAGCACAAATGGTATTTAAACCAAATTTAATTGGGCATTGCACTTAGACTTTATAATCCTGATACCTCAGCATAAATAATTACATTATGGGACATTTAAAATCTCACATTAAAGTAGATTTTGTGCACCTTTGGTTTATTTTTAGCATTGGAATGTAAACAGTAACTTTTATCACATGCCTGTGTATTTAATGTTAAGTGTGTTAAAGCTACAGTGTTTCATAGAAAAGCATCACAACGATTGTCTCTGCTTTGTACAGCACTGGCTGAAATCCTGAGTGTGAAGGAAGTTTCTAGTAGAAAGCTCTACTATGTTCACTACATTGACTGTGAGTATATTTTGTGTCAGTCGTCTTGGTTTTTCTCAAGATTTCACAGCCCCAGTTTAGTAAACATACACCAAGGTTAATTACACCTTTTAAGGTTTGTTTATTAAGTTATTATCAAAGATTTCAAAGCAGATTTGCATTTATTTAGTAATTCATTTTTTTTGTCTTATTTGGATCAATTCAGAATTATAGCTTTGTACACATAGCTTTTGATTCCCCCCCCCCCCCCTTTTCCTGTCATGTTATGAGCTAAAGATCTTCACACATCAAATCACCACTCTGTCTCTCTTTGTCTGTGTGTTTAAGTCAACAAACGTCTGGATGAGTGGGTCACAACAGAAAGGCTGGACATGAAGAAGCTTCAGTTCCCCAAGAAAGATGCTAAAACACCAACCAAGAACGGTCTTTCAGGTTCCCGTCCTAGTTCTCCGGAGAGAGACAGAGAAAGAGAGAGAGAAAGAGAGCGAGAGAGAGAGAGAGAGAGAGAGAGAGAAGTGGTAAGGAGTCCACGTGTCATTTAAAGCAATGTAATTATAATTCTCACAGTATTAAGAAATGATGTCAGTCTTAATTTCTGTGTTGTGTGGTTTTTATTCATTTTATAGAAAAACCTGCATGATGGTAAATTTCATGTTTGTTGCTGTTCACTTCCATTGATGCATGGTATAAGCTTTCCATGGTCACTTTAATAAGCTGCAGTGTGCTTTATGCTGCTTGAGCACTGATTTGTAACAGTCTACCCACAGGAAATGCAGCCATAATAACAATAAAAATATAGATAAATAAAAGGGCATCATGTTATAGAGGACCCTGTTTTTAACAAAATATCAATATCCTCTTTTTTCAGTCTTACATTTCTGTGTTAATACTTCTTTATCAAACACATGCCACTCAAACGGTGAAACTCTCGTTTTATGATTAAACCTTTAGTCGGATTTTGTGTGAATTGAATTCCTCAGTATTAACCTGAGGGTTAACATGAATTATCCCAGTGTTAACCCGCTTCCTTCTCTTCCTTTCCGTTCAATTCAGAGGAAGAGTCTAGATCTCAACGTACAAACTGCCACAGCTCCTTCCAGAGGCAAAACCCTCCCCACGCCGGTACAAGTAGAATTCACCCACTCCACAAATTACTGAGACCTTTTTAAACCTGGTGTCAATGTGATTCTTGTGTGATGATCCCACTGTTAATGTAGAGCTATAAGGTAAAGTAACGTTTAATATAGAGTGTATCCAAATGAAGATTTGTAATAGGAAGTGAAGCCCATCTGCTGCCATCACATTTAATACCAGGTTTAATGGGGTGTATTTACATTGGTTAACCTGCAAATTAGCTGAGATTTGGAGAAATAAATTGATTTGCTGTGGCTATTAAAGATGCACAGTCTTAGTTCTGTCTGAAAAAGCATCTTGATATCAAGATGTCACTCTTCATTGAATACAAATGGAGTCCCCGGCTTTTAATCAAGCCTCTGATCACGTTGACATGAAAAACAAATCCCATCAAATTCACCTTTGTTTGGTTTGTTTGTATTCAATCTTAAAGCTGAATCTCTAACACTGTTTGTTTGC